ACTGAGATAATGGCAAGATGACCTCTGAAGTACATACCTGTGGTGGCAACGGCAAAGAAAGCTATAGGTGGAAGATGTTATTTGAAACGTGAATATTGAATATTATTTGAATATTGCCCTCCTGCAATATTTAATGCCAGTTTGGATACGGAATGAGCTGCTCTGCCTAGGTTGCCTTCCTCCTGGTGGGGTCTGGAGCTCCCAGAATAACCTTTCTCAAAGCTACAAGAATCATTCCCTCTGGAGAAAACAGCCTCTGTTTCTTCCTCTCAACAACCCTGCGAGGAAGGTTAGGCTGAGAATGTGCATGGCCCCAGGTAAGACAACAGCAGTGGCAAAATAAGGATTCAAAACTGGACCTCCTAGACATTCTACGCACTAAACCACACTAGCTACTAATTGCTCTTTGTTTTATAAAGAGGGGGACAATTTCCACCCTCCTAGACTTTTCTACCCAAGAGGAACACAAAACAGCTTAAATTGTTCTCCTCCCTTCCATTTTATTATCACCTCAACCCTGTAAAGTATGTCTGGCTTAGGTTGTGTGCCTGGGCTAATGTCAGACAGCAGATTCCTGTAGCAGAGTGGGGATTTGAGCCTGGGTCTCCTTGACCTTAGTCTGGCAATGGTAGCCCCACCCACTCCCCACACTGGCTGGCATAAATTAAAAAGACTAATTAAAACCCTTGTGCTTCTTCAGAGGGGACATTTTCCACTCTCCTTGTCTGTGCGGCTTCAAGTTTTCTGGTTTCATAGGAGTAATCCTTCCATTGCAAAGAGCAGAGGGGTGTTGTGCAGCTAATCTGCGCCAGGATGTTCTGATTCTGGCCTGATTTACCACAAAAAAACTCCAGCCACCGAGTTTCTATGGCTTCCCCTTCTGGTCCCTTTCGGAGGAAGCAAGGTTGTTCCGCTGCATGGACCTCATGATAACCTGTAAGGTCAGGCTTATGGTTAAAGCTCTTCCACACATGCAGACCACGTTATGCAAAACCAGGGAATAAGTCCGACTGATGCCTTTCCATACTCCAAGCATTTGTACGGTTTCTCCCAAGTGGGTTCTCTGATGGTAAGTAAGGCATGAGTAGTTGCTGAAAACCATTTCACACTCACAGCATTAATATGTTTTCAACCCTGTATGAAATCTTTGACACGCAGTAAGTCTTCTGCTGCAATTGTGAGTTTTTCCACTCTCAGAGCATTCACTTCTCCCATGCGTGGGCTCCCTGATGGGAATAAAGGGTTGAATTCAGAGGAAAGAACATTACAGAAACCAAGCATTCGTATGGTTTCTCTCACATGGATTTGTCAATGAGTATTAAGGGTGCGACTCAGCAAATCTCTTTTCACACTCCAAGCATCTACACAGTTTCTCCCGTGTGGATTCATTGATGGCCAGTAAAGTCTCCCTACCAAGGAAAAATCTTTCGACATTCCTAGCATTTATACTGTTTCTCTCCTGTATGGACTCGTCTATGCGCAGTAAGTGTGTCACTCCGGACAAAGCTCTTACCACACTCCAAGCATTTAAATGGTTTCTCCCCTGTGTGCATATGCCAATGGGCAGTAAGATGGGCACTCCGAACAAAGCTCTTTCCACACTCCAAGCATTTATATGGTTTTTCTGCTGCGTGGATTTGTCGATGGGCACTAAGGTTGTCACTGCGAGCAAAGGTCTTTCCACACTCCAAGCATTTATATGGTTTCTCCCCTGTGTGGATTCGTCGATGGGCAGTAAAGTTGTCACTCCGAGCAAAGCTTTTTCCACAGTCTGAACATTTATATGGTTTCTCCCCTGTGTGGATGCGTCGATGGACAGTAACACTGGTACTGTGAACAAAGTTCTTTCCACAGTCCAAGCATTTATATGGTTTATCTTTTGTGTGGATTCGTTGCTCGGTAGTAAGGTCTTTACTCTGAGCAAAATGTTTTCCACTCTCCAAACATTTATATGGCTTCTCCCGTGTGTGGATTCGTTGATGGGCAGTAAGGTTGTCACTCCGAACAAAGCTCTTTCCACAGTCCAAGCATTTATATGGTTTCTCCCCTGTGTGGATTCGTTCATGGCCAGTAAAGGCTCCCTTCGAAGTAAAACCCTTTCCACACTCCAGGCATTTATATGGTTTCTCTCCTGTGTGCATTCGTCGATGGGCAGTAAGGTTATAACTCCGAGCAAAGCTCTTTCCACAGTCCAAGCATTTATATGGTTTCTCACCTGAGTGGACTTGTTGATGGGCAGTAAGATAGTTACTCAGAGCAAAACTCTTTCCACACTCCAAGCATTTATATCGCTTCTCACCTGAGTGGATTCGTTGATGGGCAGTAAGATAGTTACTCAGGGCAAAACTCTTCCCACACTCCATGCACTTATATGGTTTCTCCCCAGTGTGCGTATGCCAATGGGCAGTAAGATGGGTGCTCCAAACAAAGCTCTTTCCACATTCCAAGCATTTATATGGTTTCTCACCCGAGTGAATACGTCGATGGGCAGTAAAGTTGACACTCCGAGCAAAGCTCTTTCCACAGTCCAAGCATTTATACGGTTTCTTCTCTGTGTGGATTCTCCAGTGTGTATCAAATAGCTGGGATTCAGCACCATGAGAAGAAAAGGATTCATTTCCTCTCTTCCATTCTGTTCCAGTGTTTCTTCTCTGCTGTTCTTCTTCCAACAGGAACTGCTGTGGTTCTCCCTTGGACTTATTCTGGGGACCATCAACCTCTGCAATAAAGAGAAAAGACTATCAAGGAAAGAACTGCATTAACTACTCTCAATTATGACAGAACAGAGATCACTGAAAAGGGAGACAAATCCTCTCATATATTAATTGTCCCTGGAGGATATTTCCATTAGAGGCAAAGTGACTCAGTAGAACCTCCATGCCTGCGAAGGTATCTCATTGAAGGCTGGTTGCCAGAAGGGCAATCCTGGGGGAGGATTTGGCTCTCCTCTGCTTCTAAACCTTCCAGGAACTCTACTTGGCCACTCTGGGAAATGGAAGGCTGGACTAGAGGGGCCTCTGGCAAACCATTTCCTGGAATAAAGCACATTACAGAGCACCTTTTGCTGGACAGACAAGTTGGAACAAGGTTTCACACCAGAACTACGGAGATGCAAGCTGAGCTCCCCACTTGTACAGTGCACTGGAGTGGTCTTGGGCCAATCACTCCTTTCCAGCATTTTCTGCGTCACAGGGTTGTTGTGCAGGTAAATGGAATAATCTCACCAATGCTGCTTCTGCAATTTAAAAGAGCAGCAGGATAACCAAGAAGAGTTAACAGAAACCAATAAATAAAGACCGGTTGCCTCCCAACACATCACCAGCCCTGGACTCATCACATCCCAGGGTCAGCCCCTCTTCTCTGAAGTACTATTGCCTATCAGGAGATATGTGATTAGTCTACAAGGACCAACTGAGGCACCTTTCTTGGTGCTGGTTATCACCTTTAATGCCCTAAACAAGGCCCTGGCCCTTGAAGACCTTGCCATACTGTTGTCCCCTCAGTTAAAGTCTGTCTCCCAAACACTGCCGTCTGTGCCCCTACAAATAATGGTACGGAATCACCAGAGGCTGGGCATTTGCACGGGTGACCCCCCTCCAAAGCATGCCTGGAGCCTCCCTTACTATCTTACAGAGAGTGATTAAAATATGGAATTTGCTGCCAAAGAATATACTGATTGCCACAAGTAGAAACAACTTTTAAAAGTGGATTAGATAGATTCATGGAGAATCAGTCTATCAGTAGATACTAGCCATGGTGACCAAAGGGAACCTCCACATTCAGAGGCATTAAACCTCTGAACCCCAGAGCCAGGAGGCAACATCAGAGGAAGGCCTCAGCCTCTATGCCCTGTTGTTGGCCGTCCAGAGGAACTGGTTGGCCACTGTGGGAGACAGGATGCTGGATTAGATGGACCACTGGTCTGATCCAGCAAAGCTCTTCTTATCTTTGAAGCAGCAGGCTAAAACATTACTTTTCAGCTGGGCTTTAACTTAAGAGGGTGCGTTCAGACGTGCCATTTGATCTGGTGTTGTCACGCTTCAGTAACAGATTTTATATGCGCAATTACACGGTCAACATCTGCCTCCCGTCCCCAGCCGTTGGTTTCTGGCTCAAAACCGCTTTAACCTGGAGTATTTTGTTACCAGGTCCCAAAGTGGTGTTTTTTTCAGCTCTCCTGTTTTAAAGCCGCATTTCCCCCCTGTGTGATCACTCCTCCGGTGTTGAGCCACTTCCGGTTTAAACCCCCTCCCCGCTCGAAAGCTGTCCGAGGCTTCTGCTTTTCGCCCGCCATTTTTTTAATGCGCATAGGAGGAGCTCTGCCACCGCATTTAGAAAACTGACATTTAAACAGTCACTTTAGTTTTTAGATGAGATCGGGATCTCACAGAGGCCATTTTCGGGTCAAACGTTTAAAGGGAAGTCTTTTGTTGGAGGAGTTGGATTGATTTGCCCTGGTGGTTCTGTGCATGCGCCACGGTAGTTTCGCCCCCCCCCCCATTCTACAGAGGGGCGCCTATGCGCATGCTCAAACTGAGATTTTTTTTTAAACCCGCCAACACACGCTCCCGCGCATCAGTACTGCGATGTGACTGCACAGTGAGGCGGGATAAGGGAGGTAAGTGTGATCGCGATTATCCAGATCAAATATAATCCGGTTAGAACCGGAGCAGTTTAACCCGCTCTCAGCACGCCGTCTATCCGCACCAGAGTGGCTTTTATCTTTTTAGCTGTTTAATGGTCTGCTTCTGTCTTGAGGACTGTTTAGTGGATATTTTTCAGGCTATTTTTCAGTTCTTATGCCCTTCTTGAAAATTTTAATTTTGATGACTAATGTAGTAGTTGATTTTTGTGAGCTGTTTCAAATAGGTATCTGGAGAAGTACCATATAAATAAATCCATACTGAATAAAGCCGAGTCCTATATAAATAGTTGCTGTAGATTTTCCGGGATGTGTGGCCGTGGTCTTGACATTGTAGAACCTGACGTTTCGCCAGTAACTGTGACTATATAAATATTTCCCCCCAAGATGAAGTACAAACAAGCCAGCCTTTCCATCCCCATTTTAGTTTCTCTTTCAGAGACATTCTCTGGCTGTTTCTTCATGAGAAATCACTCTGTTCTCCTGGAGGTAAAATAATCCCAAAAGAAGTCCTTCCCTCTTCCAAGACAGAAAGAAGCAGATACCTGCTGATCTCGTTCTTTCTTCTGGGTCTTGGAAAAGCAGATCTCCTGCTTCTTCCACTCTGGATATGGAATCAGACTGGAGAAAGAGAAGTCTTCCTTTGGGGGAAAGAAACAGACCAATGACTTCCAGACATTCCAACTCTAAGAATTCAGATTTTAAACCAGCCTATATGAATCCCACCCGCTCTTACTGACAAAAAGAAGGAACACCAAATTTGTAAACTCCTGAAACATGTATGCAATGGGAGGGAAGAGGGCTACTGCTTGGATCCAGAAGGATCTAGTGGCCAAACATGGAGCAGACGGGAACTTCTGCACAGTGAAGGGAAGCCTTAGCCCAGACAGAGCCTCCAGGATAGAATATCTTAGCCCCCTTCAAAGGCACACAAGATCCAACATCCCAGACCGACACCATCTAATGTGGCTCTGACAAAAGGCTGCTGTAAAAGGGCTCCTCTCCCTTTGAAAAGACACTACAATCCTACCAGGACAGGTTAAGGTGGTGATGGATCCACAAAATGCTGAATGGTTATTAACAATCCCTAACTTGCTTTTAAAACTTTTTAGTCCGATTCCTCTGTCTATGTAGGTGATATTTTCTCTCAACCTTCCCCAGAATAGCCCATGAGGTGGCCCAGTTAAAACGCCTCCCATTTGGCTGTTTGCCCCATGCCTTTCCATGGCCATTCACCTGCTCAATCCTCAACAGCCCTTTAGGAGAATGGTCTTTTAGTTTACAAACTCTCCTGTTGTGCAGGGGGTTGGACTAGATGACCCTGGAGGTCCCTTCCAGCTCTATGATTCTGAGGAGTCCACTACTCATGCAGAAGTCTCCCCCTTGTCTGTGTGGACCTGATCCACTCCACTCCCCTAAAGACAGCCCCTGTAACAACAGCCCTACTACCGTCCTTCTTAGAAGGAGCCATTTCTGCCTTCAGCACCTGTGAATCATGGGGAGACTTACCCAGAGAGGCCACATTCTGAGGATCGTCCTCCATGACTTCCCGGTGAAGGATTCTTTGGTCTGGATCCAGCAGAGCCCACTCCTCCTCAGTGAAATGAACAGACACCTCCTACAAGGTCATGAGACCCTAAAAGACAAAAAAGGAAGCCCTCTCTCTTCTCGCTAATGTAGCACTGCACATCTGGAGGGAGGATGTTGTCTCCCAGGCACTTCCAGGCTATTGCTCCCTTCTGCTCTCAGCCTCTATGGCTTCATTGCCTCTCCTGCATTCCGCATCTGCTGGGTCCAGCTCTCTCCTCATCCCCCCTTCCTCTCCGAACAGTCTTCACCTGGACCAAAGGATCACTTTCGTCTTCTGCCAGATCCCTCTATCAAGCCAAGGGACAGTGCTACGACATCTTGCAGAGCCAACTCTGCTCATGTGCAGAGGGCAGCCGCGTGGATCTGCAGTGGAGCTCTTACCCTGGCGCCTTAAGGACCCAGAAGAGTTTCCGGGCAGAAGCTCTCGAGAGCCAAAGGAAAATCTTGGAAGGGAAATATTATTTTATTACTTATCTGTTTGTTTTTTAATATACAACTCCCACGCACCCTCCTCTCTCCTTTGGGCAACCACGCCGGTGACTTCCCCGGACAACTTCAAGGCAACTTTTCCGCCGGAAAGAATCGAAGCGGGGAGGGGCTGCGGTGAGTCACGTGGCCTTCTTCCTTTGAGGCCTCTCTAGGAATAGTGACTTCCTCTCTTTAACCCTTGGGGTAAACCTCACTCTGCAAGCCTCACTCCAGGGTCTTGACTCGGGAGGAACAGTGCAGACCATCGGAATGGGAAGGGAGGTTTCCGCCCACGGTGCCTTCTCTGCTTATGTGTCTGTTGCCAGCCTCCAGGCAGAGCCTGGAGATCTCCAAACCACAGAGATCAGTCCCCCTGGAGAAAGCGGCTCGTATGGAGGGCGGGCTCCCTAGCAGTGTTCCCTCTAAGCTGAGTTAGTGTGAGTCAGCTCACAGTTTCTTAGCATCCGGCTCACACATTTTTGTCTCAGCTCAGGAAGGAGGGCTCCAGAGCCAGCTGATTGATGCAGTAGCCAAATGGCTCACTCACAACTTTAATGCCAGCAGCTCACAAAGCAAAAGTTTTGCTCACAAGACTCCACAGCTTAGAGGGAACATTGCTCCCTAGCACTGCACGTCCCTGAGGTTCCTCCCTCCACCAATCTCCAAGGGTTTCCGAACCCAGAACTGTCGTCCCTGCTTTCTTGCCTCTAAGGACCGGTCCTGAAGTGCCATAGAATTGCCTTGAAGATATGGAGAAGCTTCTGGCTGGTATCACTGGCTTGAGCAACCCAGACCTATGTGTCAGGTGTGATGCTCCCTCGAAAGAGAAGACTTTTATTTGGCTTGATGAGGAGAGATATTCCCTCCGCCAGATATGCAGGGGAGGGAGTGGGGCTGGGAAAAGTACAGAGGAGGGCAGCCAAGACGTTGAGGGGGTTGGAGCACCTTCTGTGTGAGGCAGGGTTGCCAGGTCTGGGTTGGAAAATACCTGGAGACTTTGGGGGTGGAGCCAGGAGAGGGCGGAGTTTGGGGAGGGGAGGGGCCTCAGCAGGGTACAATGCCATAGAGTCCCCCCTTCAAAGCAGCCATTCTTTCCAGGGGAGCTGATCTCTGTCAACTGGAGATCAGTTGTAAAAGCGGGAGATTCCCAGGCCCCACCTGGAGGCTGGCAACCCTAGTGTGAGGAAAGGCTGAAGAGTCTGGGGCTTTTCAGTTTAGAAAAGAGAAGGCGGGGGGCATGATAGAGGGTTATAAAATTAGGCACCGGGTGCAGAGACTTCACCAAGACAACTTTTTCTCCCTCTCCCAGAATATAAGAACTTGAGGGCATCCAGTGAAGCTGATGGGCAGGAGGGTCAGGATGGAAAAAACGGGATACTTTACACAGAGTGATTAAAATGTGGAATTTGCTGCCAGAGGATGTAGTGACAGACAGCCACAGGTGCAAACAACTTTAAAAGGGGATTTGATAGATTCAGGGAGGAGAAGTCTATCAATGGCTACTAGCCATGGTGGCTGAGGGAAAACTCCATATTCAAAGGCACTAATCCTCTGAATCCCAGAGCCAGGTGGCAACTTCAGGGGAAAGCCTCGGCCTCTGTGCCCTGTTGTTGGCCGTCCAGAAGAACTGGTTGGCCCCTGCGTGAGACAGGAAGCTGGACTAGATGGACTACTGGTCTGATCCAGCAGGGCTCTTTTTATGTTCTAATGAAGACCTTGGCTTCTATGCCCTATTGTTGGCCACTGTGTGAGGAAGGATGCTGGACTAGATGGACTACTGGTCTAAACCAGCAGGGCTCTTCTTATGTTTTTATGCCTTTAAGGTGCCACAGGATTTTTGCTTCATTTAGTACAAGAGACTAATGTGGCTACCCCCTTTGCAATCTCCTCCTGTAACCAGTTCCTTTCCCCCCTCTGTTTTGAGTCTTGCATCACAAGACACCCCCATTTCCCCTCCAAGCCCCTTTGAGGTCACCAGATCCCTCAGAGGAGAAATTCAGGGGGGGGGGGGAGATTGGAAATGGCTTTCCCACATGTCCCCCTGGGACTGCAGACTCTTCCTCTTTAACCCTTGGAGAGGCTCTTGCCAGCTAAAGGGACCTACCTAGGAGAGGGAAAGCAAAGGCAGCATCTCAGAAAAAGGGTAGATTAATGTCTCACGTTACCACTCTAATGGCAGAAAGTGAAGAGGACCTAAAGAGCCTCTTGCTCAGGGTAAAAGAGGTAGAGCGCAAAAGTGGGCTTAAAGTGACAGAATTCATGTTCCTGGGATCCCAGATCACCGCAGACTGTGACAGCAGCCATGAAATTAAAAGGCTCCTGCTCCTGAGGAGGAAAGCAATGGCGAACCTAAACAGCATGATAAAAAGTAGAGACATCACCCTGCCAACAAAAGTCCGCATGGTCAAAGCAATGGTATTCCCAGTAGTCCTGTATGGCTGCAAGAGTGGGACCATAAGGAAAGCCGAGCGCCAAAGAATAGATTCTTTTGAATTATGATGCTGGAGAAGACTCTTGAGAGTCCCCTGGACTGCCAGGAGATCAAATCAGTCAATCCTAAAAGAAATCAACCCTGACTGTTCCCTGGAAGGCCAGATACTGACACTCAAACACTTTGGCCACCAAATGAGAGGGGCGCACTCACTGGAGAAGACCCTGATGCTGGGAAAGATTGAAGGTCAAAGAAGAAGGGGACAGCAAAGGATGAGATGGTTGGACAGTGTTACCGAGGCAACGAACATGAAATTGAGCCAACTTCAGAGGACGGCGGAAGACAGGAAGGCCTGGCGGGATCTGGTCCATGGGGTCGCGAAGAGTCGGACTCGACTGTGCGACTGAACAACAAATGTCTCACGACAACAAATAAATTATGTTCTCCCTCAGCTAATGTTCAGGCAACATTGTACCTATTTTAATGGCATGGAAAAAAATGAGAAATATACAATCATGGGCGGGGGTTGTCTCACTGTAAATAGATTTTGTTTTGCCCTTGAAGCCCTGTGAGCTGCGTCAGGGTTGCTTCAACAGGGCAGCACTCAGCTTTCCTTTTTCTTTTCTCCATTTTGAACTTCAATATTGCCTTTCCATTCCAGTCATAGAGCCCAAGACTCCTGACACCAAATGAAAACCTTGCCTTTGAAAGAAACAAATCGTTTGAAGCAAAATTAGAAAGCAAGTGTTGCGTAAAAGGCTTTGGCTTCTGCCTTGGAGGACAGACAGATGGTCTCCCCAAGAAGATTTTAGAAATTGGCTCCTTCCTCTCACCCTGCTGGGGATCTCACCGTGTCTCCTCCAGCTTCGGACATTTCAGGAGGCAGTTAAGCATACCCTTGCCTGAGGACTAGAGAATTTTTTAAAAACGTGTGTGATCGGGTTCAGCTTTCCATCTGTGTCCAGTCTTTTGGGTAGAGTCAGGCAATTGCTCAAACTCTTAATTTTTCTGACATTCCTAGACTGGTTGGTAGTCTACTGAGATTGATATCACGACGCAGCATCTATTGAAAGCCCCCCAAGGAGGGCATTGTGGAGTTCTAAGCCAAAGCACCGAAGCTGCAGCACAGATGGCTCGCCCGAATGTAAACGTGGGGGATCAGGAAGTTATGGCGGCTCTCTTTGTGCTCTGCAAAGTGGATGCATGCACACAAAAATGCTATAATTGTTCATGTAGCCCTAGAGGATGCTTTACAGATTTGGAGGATCTGAACTGATGTGTTTTTACATTGGCTGAACCTGTGAAGCATCACAGAAGCAAACCTGAACGAATCGTTTATACTGTCAGCCACTTTGAGTTCCACAAGAAAGGCAGATGATAAATTTTTTTTAAAGAAAATGAATATGCACCACATTGCACATTGTCCCTGACAAGGCAATTTTATTTGCACTCTTAGGACCTAAACTAGAAGGTACATATTATTTCCAGTATATACAACTACTTCTGACATAAGGCCAGATATATTTGTGGCCCCAAATAGAAACCTTTTGGTGTGTCATTCAATTCCATATTGGAACATTCCAATGTTGGTCCTGTTTTATTTATTGTTAATTGCCTTACTTAAACATAAGAACATAAGAGAAGCCAATGTTGGATCAGGCCAATGGCCCATCTAGTCCAACACTCTGTCACACGGTGGCCAAAAATACCAGGTGCCATCAGGAGGTCCAGCAGTGGGGCCAGGACACTAGGAGCCCTCCCACTGTTGCTCCCCCCCCCCAAGCACCAAGAATACAGAGCATCACTTGCCCCAGACTGAGAGTTCCTATCTATACCTTGTGGCTCATAGCCACTGATGGACTTCTGTTCCATATGTTTATCTAATTCCCTCTTAAAGCCGTCCATGCTTGTAGCCGCCACCACCTCCTGTGGCAGTGAATTCCGTGTGTTAATCACTCTTTGGGTGAAGAAGTAACTTGTGTTACAGGGACTCTATTGCTTGGTGTATTTTGTACTATTTGACCTCTGAAGAAGGCTCTTGTGAGCCGAAACACATCAAATCATACACTGTCCTTTTTTGTGTATTTGTAACTCTGAACATTTTATTAGGCTTTATTTCGGCCCCTACAAGATTTTTATATGTCTTAAACACCCTTTTGTAC